TAAGAGTATGTATAAAAGGCTGATATTGTCAGAAATCAAAATATTAATATTAAGACTCCAAAGCAAAGGACATGAAGAGGCAATTCACAAAGGAAATACAATTGTATAATAAAACATGGGGAAAATTTTTGATCATATTAACAACAGAAAATGAAGATTATGCAATTTATAAGCTACCAAATTTGCAACAATTTTTGATATGCATTTTTTGGAAATGCATATTTCCAAATTTGGAAAGTTTTAAAATATATTAATATTCGATGCTTATTTAAGTGTGGTAAGAAAGGAAACACAGAGAAATAAAGTGAACAGAGAAATAAAGTGATAGCGACTTGGTAAAATATACCAAAACCTCAAAATGAATCTATCTAGCACTAATTTTACTTCTCATGATAACTGTCATAAGAAAGTAATTTTAACATGAAAATTTAGCATAACCTGTAATATTGAAAGTAAAAAATTTAGGATCTAATGATATACCTTTATAATAGAATATTTACAGCTATAAAATTATATTTGCAATGAGTTTTTAATAAACTAGGGAATAGTTTATGTCATACTGGAAACAAAATGGCCTGTGAAATTGGATGCAGACTATATTAGAGCTATTTTTAAAGATATGTAAAAAAGAAGGGCCGGCCGAGTGGCTCAGTTGGTTAAGAGCTCGCTCAAGAGTTTGAGCTCTGAGCAACAGCGGTTCAAGTCCAGCCCGAGCTGAGCAGCCGCTGAGCTGCCAATAGGTAGCAGGATGGCTCAGCTAAAACAAAAACAAAACAAAACAAGATATGTAAAAAAGAGAAATATAATGAAATGTTAACATCCTGTCTTTGGGTGGTGGTCATTTTTTTTTAATTTTCTGTCTTCTCCAAATGTTTTACAGTAAGTATGTCCCCTCTTTTTATTTTTTTTTTAATTAAAGGCTCTCAGAGACTCAAATAAGAGAACTTAGCATGAGGACCATTTATATTTTTATTAGCAAACTTTGGGGCTAAGATGTTACTATTATTCAGCAAGCCCAATGTTCATCTACAAATATTTTCTAGTGCCTCCCATGTGTACATGCTATAAAGGTGCTGAGAGAAACACAATGTTGAATCAGACAAGGATTCTAAAATCAAGGGGTATGGTCTGGTGATCAGACAAAACACATCTGCACATAACTATAATACAAATGATAAAGTCCAGAGGGGAGGTGTAGGAAAATATGTTGAACAGAGTTATCAATGTAGAAGTAAAGGGTATGTGAATAGGAGTGGTTGGAATGGTAAATTGGAGATAGATCATGAGAGCTATGAATGCCAAGGTAAGGAGTGTGTTGTTAAATTGGAGGGCTTTAAATAGCTATTGAAGGTCTTGTTTTGTTTTTATTTATTTTGTTTTAAAATCATGATCTTCATGATATGTACTTCAGGATGGCTGCTTTTGGAAACATGCTGGAATGTGGATGAGACTGAAGGCTGGTAGATAAATTAGAAGCCAGCGCAATAGTTCAGGTGAGAGACAGTGAAAGTGGACCCTGGGAAGTAGATGTGAAGGTAAAGAGGAGGAGGCATTCAAATAAAGGCAGACCTCTCTATCTCCAACTATCCTCTAGTTGGAGATGAAGGTTAGAAGCTCCCATGTCAGTAGGTCAAGGAGGCATTACTGTCTTCTGAGGCATTTATTTCAAAATTGGCTCCCACATCATGATTTTATAAAATCTGCACCTGTGTATCCTAATCCCAAACTGCCAGGAAGGAGAATTACACTGGAGGCTGTGATTAGTTTGCTAGAGTGAAATACGTTTTTTCTGTTTCTGTTTTTCAATACACATGTGATATCTGGGGCTTGAGCAGCAGCAACTGCAAAGGATTCTTGCTGATCCACTTTTCTTATGTTGAGTAATGGTGTAAACTATAAAGGTGGTTTTGTACAGGCCAGCCTGAAAGGGATGGGAGGAAAGGAGAGATGATAGCCTCTCAGGTGTCCAGGTATTCCAGTATCTCTATGCTGGAGGAGCTTTGTGCAGCACATACTCTCCCAGTAACTTGAACACAGGTCCTGGGCTTCGAGAAAGATTCTCGACTGAGTTGCACACCTAACTGTGCTTGGTGAGTGGTTCTTTGTACATTTCTCCCTCCCTAATTCTTACAGGCTTCTATGATCTCACTAGTCACTTGAGCTTCCTCTTGCATATTCTTTCATCATTCTTTCTTCCTCTCTCCAGGGTTAGGTAATTCCCACTCACTTGGCCAGGCCCTGCACAAGCAGAAAACTCCTGGTAAAATACAGGTTGGGGAATTAACACCATCCTTTTCTGTCTTTTCCTAGGTAGCTGGATCTCTTCCACCTATGGCCTTGCATCATTTTTTCTTTTAAGTATGATTTTCTTTGTACTAAAGCCATATAAAAAAATAGAAGCAGAAAAGTCCTACTGAAGCTAAAATAGTTTTCAATGGGGTTACCTTAATGCATATATTTTCACATAAGCCATAAATGAGAACTATTTGTCATCCTTGGGAAACTTTTTATAATAGGTACCATAGAAGTATTACTTTAAAAGAAGTTTAACCTGAGATCAAACATATTCTTCTAAAGGGCCTCCCTTTATTCTCTCTTGTTCCCTAAGGCTTTCTCTGATGTGGTTGTGCTGAGAACTGGAACAGGATATATATATATATATATTTTAAAGCTTTTAAAGAAGGCTGGCTTGTAAAAGTAAAGCCAGAAAGGCAGAGTTCCTCCATGCTTTTTTTTTTTTTTTTGGTGGTGCAAGAGCTTAGAAAATATAAAATCTATAATAATATCGAGGTACTTTTAAATATTCACACATTCATTACTGTATTCAACATTTATTGGAGCATCATTATGTTCTATGACCTGTGCCAAATGTTGGGGATATAAAAAAAAAGAATACTCCTTTAAGAATATGCTGCACAGGAATAAGTATAAGATGAAATAAACAAGGATTGGAAGACATCTGTCTGGAGGAGTAAGAGAAATTTATAGGACCGAAGAAGAAATTGGTACTTCAGTGCATTCAGCCTCCATTCTCATCTGTGAAAAGGCTGACTTCATTGTTAGTTCCTCAGAAAAGCTGCTTATGGCCCAAATTCTTTTGTGCTGTGTAAATGCCAATTCACCAAATGTTGGTATGAGATTTAGGGTTGGCATTGGGAGGATCTCAGAGGTTCTAATTTGCTTTCAGTGTTGACCAGAAGAAGTGATTCCAGAGCTAAAAATCTACTGTGATTACCATGTTTTTTTTTTGTCATGGACAAGTAGTTTAAGCTTAGGCAAGCCATCTATCTTCCCTTCAGTTTTGTCATCTACAAAGTGAGAAAACATACCTATCATTTTACCTTTGATAAAATTGTATAAGGTTCATGTAAGTGATTGGAAAAGTACAAAACAATAAACACAATAATATCTGTACTTGAGATGGAAAAGAAAGAATACTTCTTTTTAAATGCTCACAATTTAGTGGGAAGGATATATAAGTAAACAAATAGTTACAAGATACTGTGTTGAGGGCATGAAAAATGGTCTGTGCAAGTACAGTGCAGGGACCACACCATTGCTGAGAAGTGGGCTTAAGAGGCTAAATAGAAAAGGTAACATTTAACAAGTGTTGGCAAGGATTTGGAGAAAAGGGAATCCTTGCACACCATTGGTGGGAATATAAATTAGTACAGCCATTATGGAAAAAAATCATATATATATATATATATGTATTATACCATACCAGCCTTTAAAAAGGAGGAAAATTTGTCATTTGCAACAACATGGATGAACCTGGAGGACATTATGCTAAATAAATTAAGCCATGCACAGAAAGACAAATATTCCATGATACCACTTACATGTGGAATCTAAAATAGTCAAACTCATAGAAGTAGAGTATAAAATGTTGAGGTTGGGGGAGTGGGGAGTGGGAGATGTTAGTGAAAAGGGTACAAAGTGGCAGTTATGTAGAATGAATAAGTCTAGAGATCTAATGTATGGCATGATGACTATAGTTAATAATACTGTATTGAGTACTGGAAATATGATAAGACAGATTTCAGGTGCTCTTATCACACACAAAAAAGGTAACTGTAAGGAGATATGTTAATTAGCTTAGCTTGACTGTTATGTATTTCACTATGTATATGTATATCAAATCATATTGTACACCTTAAATATATGCTTTTTTAATAAAAAAAAGTCACTCATAGAGATTAGTAGGGAGACAAAGACATAAACAGACATGTATAAAGCAATGAGGAATTCCAATTACAGAGATACAAAAACTCTTGTGTATGAAGGGAATATCTGGTCACATAAAGTCAACATCAAGTGAAATACCAAATATGCAGTTATTTTTATTGTTGCTTTATTATTATTGCTGCTGCTACTGTTTTTATTATTGTTGTTCTTAGCAAGGAAAATATGTAAAATCTAGTAAATATGAATGGGGCTTCAGTGATAGGCAGTTTGCTTTGTCAGAAACCCTGCCAAAATATTTTTATCCTATTGTTTTATCAATCCTTCCTATAATGAAATCCCAAGGAACTACAAAGGGCTATGTAGGTAAATCTATGTCCCCCAAAGGAAGCCCTTAACTCCTTTGAGGCAGAGTTGCTAAGAAACCATCTATAGAGACAAATCACAGTTAAGTGATGCACTGAGCATAATGCATTACACACAGGGTCACTCAATAAAAAAACTGTTATCAATTATTATAAGGCAATTGAATGTCAGGAAATTTCATTAAGAGTCAATTAACTTTTAAATAGAAGTTAGAAGTCAGATCTCCACGTCCTGTGCTAGACGCTGTTAATGAATTAATCAGACAGGATCTCAGTCCTTGAGAAACTCACAATTAAATATGGGAGAATGTAACAATATATAGTATGGAAGACAAAACAGCAGAATTGTGTTCAAAGTATCTGGGCAACAAGAAGATGGCAATTAATTCTGCCTGGAGAAAGTGAAGGTGACACTTGATCTGTAGTGAGGGCGGAGTCTGCGGGGATTTCTAGACGTTGAGTTTCAGAAGCTGCCGGAACCAAGCTACGGCGGGAGTTCAGTGAGTCTCGGTCGGTTATTGTTACTGGACCCGATCTAGGCCGTTCCGCCAGTGTTTTCAGCTGCCCAGGGATTGCGGTTGCTTGGGCCGATCTTCAGTTTGTGCAATAACAGGCCGCCGCAGCAAAAGATGAACGGAGCTCTGGTAAAGGTAACAAAGGTTCCACGCACGCTGTGTGCGGGGGAGGTGGTGGGGAGTGTAGAGCTGGGAGGTGGCCAAGGCTATCACCGCCTCTGCAGACATCCGGGTACAGACACTGGCGAGAACAAGGCTCTTCCCGGCAGCACACGCGGTGCCTTGTAATCAAACGGTAGCGCTTCCTCCTCTCTGCTCCCGGTGCACCCGGCAGCACTGCCCCGCGCTCCACGCACCTGTCACTAGCTACTCTCGCCGCCCATTGTCCTGGAAAGAGAAGAGCCCCACTATGGGAATCACGACACCAGGATAGGTCCCAATAATCTGTATGACCTTGAGCAGTCACTTTATTTTTGCATTGTCATCAACTTCCAGAATTTTTTCTAAGAATACTGTTTTTGACTTGAACTGATTGGGACGTGAGGCTACTTGTCCATAAAGGAAGGGTAGTAATAAACTACATTATTACTTATAAAACCTTATTTAAGTGACTGCAGTAAAACCGTATGAACCACCATAAATGCATTCCTTGGCCTTCCCTTGTCCCTTAACAGATTTCAATTGTGCTCTTTCAGTTGTTTCATGCTGTTTAGAATAATGACTTATTTTTAGCAATTTATGTTAAAATATTATTTTAGGTATTGTAGAGACTATATTTCCACGATGCATAGATTAACATGCATGTTAACTGCATTAACATGCAATTTACTGCTAATTGATCTACTAGTACTTATCTTGGGGCAGCCTCTGAATTTCTCTAGGTTTGTTTCCTTAAGGGACCAAACCTCACTTCATTCTGTATGAAATAACTCACGGTTGTTCACTTTAGCCAACTTATGAGGATTTGGCCATATCTGGTGAAAGGAGAATAGAAAACTATCAGAAAGTGTCAAAATTCTGTTGTTAAAGATGATCAGATTGGTGAATCCACTCTCCTGCTCTATTTGCCTTGATTCTGAGGAATGCTGAAAGGGAGAGATCATTTTTCAAAGAATACTGTTTTGGACCATTGTATACTCCAGGAGGGTCCATAGAAATATGTCATTAGGCCAACACCTGCAGATATAAGGGCACATAGGGCTCTTCCAAGTCTAATGCCACTGTTCCCTTCCAGACTCCTTTGTTACTGACTTTACTCTTCCATCTGCCCTGCTGCTTTGTCCAAATAGTCTCTTCTTTATTTGCCAAATGCTGAATTCCTGATCCTTGATCTTGTGTACCCTTCTCACCGCTTATCTAAATGCTCCATCATTCAAGACCCAGCTCATCTCATCTTTTCCATAAAACCTTTCTGACCACTCCAGCTAATGTGCCTGTTTATTTTCTGAACTCCTAACTGGTATTATGTTTTGGCACCTAATCATATGCAGTCTTGTGACCATTCTTGTCTCAGCCTTTCTGGAAATGTTAGTTAATACTTTACAGTTGTAAGGAAAACCAATGGGATATGCGTCAGACCTGGGTTCTATCACTTGCTAGTTCTATGACCTTAAGAAGGTTATTTGACCTCTTTCTGCTTCAGTTTCATATATGTAAAATGTAGATGATGATGCCCACTGTATGGAATTGTTTAAAATCTAAAAGATTATAGAAGATACTGTAAGTAAAAGTACTTTGTAAAATGTGAAGGATTATACAAGTAGGAATATTGACATTATTCTACAGTTAATAAACTGCTTAATTTTCATAATCTCATTTGATCTTCTTAATATTATGAGATAATTCTGGCAGGTGCAAGATGAGGAAATGGAAGCTACTGGCACAGTGCCTGGTACATAATAGGTTCTCTAATGTTCTGAATGCCCAAATGAATGGATGCCTTGCTTATAGGGCAACAGCCTCTTAAGTGGTAGTACTAAGACTGGAGCCTAAATTTTCTACCCCACTGCCTTTCCTTTTCTGAGTATTTTCTATCTCCCGAATTCGATAATAATCTTGGTTTTCCTCATCTATGAAATGAAGCATGAAAACCTTCCTTGACCTTCCCAGTTGTCAGTCCTTCCGTCTTTGTAACGTATACACTCCATTATACTGATCTTACATTCAATGTAATAAATAATTTGCACATCTATTTTCCTCCCTAGAAAGATTTGAGGGTAAGCAACTGTATTTTCTTCATTTCTGTATGTACTCAGTCTATAATGTACTTGACTTAAAGTAGGTACCTGATAAATACTGAATGAATAAGTGAATGAATAAATGTTTACATTACATGGTAAGAACATGGTAGAGCTGAGACTAGAACTTCAAACTCTTAGCTCAGTGCTCTTTCTCTGGGGCCCTAAGAAGTTCTTAGCTTATAGTCATCTCAAATTTTAGATGAGTGAGAAGCTCAGCTTTACTGGGTGGAATCATGTACCTCTTTGGGTCAACAGAAGTTATAATGCAGGGGGATCTGATTAAGACACTGATGCTGATATTCATCAAACCCCAGAAAACACTGATTGATCAAGATGACAGTCCAGGAGCAACTTTGGGGATTGATCTCATAGTTCAAGTGAAAACATTGAAGGCTAACAGGGAGCAAAGTTCATGTGAACAAATAGCAGTGAGGACTAAAGCAAATGACAAACCAAAGGACATGAATTAGGAGGACGTAAGAATATAGGAAATAGAAGGACACAAACTTTAGAGTGCCGAGAAGGGCAGGGAGTACAAAAGCCCAGGAAAATGGTCAAGAAGTTGGCTATATCCTGGTCACTACTGGATTGTGAGTGGAGGACAGAGACATTTTTCTATTTTTGTTCATGGTTTTATTTTCAGCAGGTATTACACATTATCATTTAATAAATGAGGAGCTAAACAATCACCACTATTATCATCACTGTTACCGATTTGACCATTAACAATGTGCCTTCCACTTGTTAAGCCCTTTTTATATATTATGTAATTTAATCATATCAACAACTCTGTGAGATATTTATAACCTCTTTAGAGATAACGAAGTAAAGTTTGTGGGGATTTATTAATTTGATCACCAAATGCTATGTGTTAAGAGTATGCTAGATGCTGGGATGTAGCAATTTCTGTTTTCATGGAGCTTATATTCCTAGCCAAAGAGACTAAACATATAATTACTTAACTTGTGATAAATGCCACAAAACAAAGATCCTGGGTGCTGTATGAGTGTATAACAGTAGGATCCAAGCAAGTCTGAGCAGTCAGGAAAGCTTTCTCAAGGATCGTACATGACTAAAACTTAAAAAATGATAGAATTTAGATAGGGAAAGCATGTACAAAGGCCCTGAAATGAGAACACATTGGGAGTTCCAGATGGTCCTGTGGAAATTGGGAGGGTGAGAAGCGGGGGGCTTGGATAAAGGGAGAGTGTGCAGAGAAGTGTGGGGATGAGAGTTGGGGAGATAATACAGAAGTAGACTTGCATTTGAGGAGGTGACCACAGATATGTTGAAAGTTAATTTAGTGCTGGAGGAAGTAGGGGAATTGGGCTTAGCAGAGCTCAGCTGCGGCCTAAAAGTGCCATTGAGCAGCTATGCTGTGAAGCCAGATATTTCTTTTTTCCTTTTTTTAATATTCAGCTATAATTCACATACCATAATTTTCACCCTTTAAAAGTGGACAATTCAGTAGTTTCTAGTGTATTCACAAAGTTGTGCAGCCATCACCACTATCTAACTCCAGAACGTTTTCATCACTCCAAAAAGAAACCCTGTACCCATAAGCAGTCACCTCTTATTCCCCACCCCCTAGTAACCACTAATCTTCTTTCTATCTCTATGCATTTGTCTGTTCTGATCATTTCATATAAATGAAATCAGAAGGTGAGGTCAGGTATTTCTTAAGTGATTTGCCAAAGGTCATATAACTAGGAAAATGGAAGTGCTGATACTCAAACCCAGGTCTGTGTGAATCTATACACTGTGCTCCTAACTGCCATAAAGACTCAGTGCAAAGACAGACTGATATTCAATGTATAGTCAGTCAATGTAGTAAACATATTCAGAAGAAAATGGACAAAGGAAAAACAAAAGTAACTTGAAGGACTTAGGAAAACATCAGCTAGAACACCACTTACTAGCTATGTGCATCAGGCATATTCACCTTTCTGAGCTTTGGTTTCCTCACAGTAAAATGGGAGTAGAAATGTCTACCTCATGGAATGGTTGTGAACATTAAAGGAAATGATGCTTGGCAGGTGCTCAACAAAAGACAGGGTTATTGAGACTATTATTATTAACATATGCGCCTCCCTGATATAAATTGGTATGACTCTTTTGAGAGAGAGTTTGGCAGACTGGAAAGTGTGGGCTTTGGATTCAGTCAGACTTGGGTTTGAATTCTTGGCACTTCTTACCAAGCTTATAACTTTGGACACTTTACCTAAGCCTCTGTTTTTAACTCTAAAATAGGGGCAATTATCTCAATAATACCTCTATCAGACGATTGGTATAAAGATTGCTTGAAATAGTGCTTGTAAAGTGCTTAGCACAGAGGATGTACTCAATAAGTAACAGTCCTATTTTTTTTTTTTAAGATTTTTTATTGGGGAATTGGGGGGATGGGAACAGTGCTGGGGAATTGCGGGAAGGGGAACAGATAAGTTTCTGTCGTTTTGTTCTTCAGTCTAGTTGTGGAGGACGTTGCTTCACTGGCCCAAGTTGGCACCATCATTGCGTTCTTCCCGGGGGAGGCAGATCAGTCGCCGGCTTCTGGA